GTCAGATTCATGTTCTTGACCGGATAAAATAGAGTTTTCACTTATTTGATCGGTCTGTGATTGAACGGTGTTTTCTGATTCTCCTTGATCGATTTCACCCGAGTCTTCATAGATTGTATGAATATTTCCTGGCCTCATTGATAAAACAAAACAGACAGAATTTAACATGAGAATTGAGAAAATAAATAAAATTTTGTTCATTTTAAATATTTAAATAGAATTAAATATAAATTGTTCTAAAAATTTTATAATTTATCGGAATTTATAAGTTACGATAAAATTTAAATATAAAATAATCTTCTATTTTTAAAAAACAATCAAATTTTATAATATTTTTTATTATAGAAAATTTAATTATGGGGGTATTTTAAGTAAAATGCGAAGTTAATTAAAATTTAAGAGAGCGGCATGTATGTAGATATAAAGAGAGGGCACGTAAACAAGAGCGGCACGCTTTTTAGTTTTAATGTTTAATGCCTGCACTTATCTATTATCATGAGATAACCATCGGATGTGGCCTGAGTGCAATCTAGGAGGGCAAAGGAGATTGAAAGTACAAACTCCGATGCACTCTAGTTTGTCGAAACCGAAATGTGGGAAAAACAACGGAGATATTATTTAAAGAGAAATAAAAATCTAGAGGGAAAAGAATCGAACAAATAGATGCAATTAGAAAATTAAAAATAATTCAAATTTTTTTACGTTTTCTGTGCCGAAACATAAAGATTTTGCTATTGACTAAATCTTATCTACCCAAGGCTCAATTTTATATAATTAATGTCAGTATGGTTATTTTTTGTTGAAACTTTGGCTCTTGTCCAGTTCATGCGTCCAATCGCACATTGCTACGTCCATTTAAAGTGTTTGCGTTAAAATAAATTTTTATATGTCCAAATAATGACGTATCTTTTTAAATTTATCCAATACTTTTTTATTGAATTGTTTAATACTTTTTTTAATTACTTTTTTTTTGATTTCCTTTTATTTGTCTTTAATTGCAATTTTTCACAAATAATATAAATGCGTAAAACCATTGGTGTATTAAAATGTATTCAAATTCCATATTCTCACACCCTCCTTAATTAAAACAAAAGTTACACTTCATATAATTGAAAATATTTTATTTTATTCATTTTATTTTCTAATTTTATTTCTGCAAAGTTAAATTTAAACTTATAAATAATTAAAATTATGGAAACTTCAACAAATCAAATAAATATTTTATTAAATAATAATACATTTCCTAATCATATGGTAACTAATTAAAAATATATGTGACTAAATAAATTTTTTATAGGGGATAGGTCTTCAATCATTCCATCTGGCCCTTTTAATTTTGTTCCGCTTCCTTCTGCTTTCCGGATTCCACTTTTAAATTGCAGGAAGGTCTTTCCCAGTTTCTTGTATTTTAACTCCTCAGAATGTTGAAATTTGTGGAACTAAAAATTCCTTTAAAATTTCTGTTGCTTTTGAGTATCTAAGGAGATTTAGCAAAAATTTACCAAAAATTATTCAAATTCTATGTACTCTTTATTACAGTTATATAAACAATATAAGGATTCCGGTACAAGTTCTGCACTAATTTTGCCTGCTGTGATGATGAATGTTGCTGGAATACCTGGAATCGCAGCAAATTTGCTTTTAATTTTTGTAACAATACAAAACAAGTTAATAAAAAAATTCAAAATATTTTTAATCAAAAAAAAAATTAATTTTTAAGTAAATTGAGAGGATCGGCAAATTATTTATTGGCCTTAACTGCTTTCTTTGAGATTCTCCACCAATCTGCCCATTTTTTATTTCTGTTTATAACAGTTAGTGGCATCAATTTTATTAATTATTCTACAGCTTTAAAATTCCAATTACATTCAATTTTTGGTTTAACAGCAGCCCAGACATCTATGGCATCAATAGCTGCTGACAGACTTTTATCTGTCCTATTCCCTCTAAAATACTATAAATTAAATATTCGTCTTTACTTCACAATTCATATAATTTTGGCTTTTATTAGCGGTATTTGGATGTCAATAAATGCTATTAATTTATCCAAGAAATATTCAACACTTCCCGTTACTGGATATATTTCTGACTTGTTAGTTTTGGATATGGAAATAATATTCCATTTTATTATGCTTTTATGTGGAATTAATGTTTTGTTATATTTTTTTGTTTGGATTGTTGTCCGTTGGTTTCATTCAGGTAGAAAGAATGCATTCACCTTCAACTAATCAAATTTTTCTCATTTTTTAAGCAAATAATGATGGAGGTACTCAATCAGAACCTCAATCACGCTTTCTTAAATCCCTAATTTTAATTGTGTCAATCGTTATTGGAGGTTATGTAATTGGTTGTATATGTAAAATAATTGTTGATCATTTCCTGAATTTAAATGATATACAAGTATAGAATAAAATTTAGGGGAAATTTCTACAGGGGTGCGACAAATTTTCCGCCCTTTTTGTTTTTGTCTAACATTTTTTAAAGTCAATGTTATAACAAAATGACAAAATGACAAGATGTTATGACAAAAATAATAAAGGCAGAAAATTTATACCGTATAAAATATTTTTTAGATTTGGACAGTTAATCATTTAGCTGGAATTCTTATAAATATTGGTGCTTCCGCAGAGACTCCAATACTTTATATTTTTAGGTTATAATTTAAAAGTTAAGAGAAAATTACACTCATATTTTTATTTAAAAGAAATTAGGTAATTATTATAATTAAATTACAATGTTTAGTTTGAGGGTACTGCCCAAGGCCATAACGGCGCAAAGCCATAACTTGCTTCAAAATTTCAGAATCTTACCAACTTTAGTATTAAACTATTCCTCTCATCGAGATAAAGAAATTTATAGCAAAAATGATAAAGGCCATAAATTTTCCAGTAAGTTATGGCCTTGCGAAGTTCGTGTGCCACTCAATTTAAATATGTTAATTAATAGCTCTTAAATAATTTATTTCAAGTTCATTCTATCGTGAAGCTATCAACAAACAATTAAAAAGCATTTTTTATAAAAAGACAAATTCTAAAAATGTAGTTTCAGTCCATCCCGTTTCATTTAACAATAGAGGAGGTTTTGTTAGCAGTGAAGGAATTAATGGAAAAACAAAACAATTGGAAATTAAAAATAACGGAACTGTTTAAAACAAAAATTTGTATGATCAGCTGTTTCGAATAATTTTAAATATGTTTTTTAAATAAATAATTTGTCAAAAATATATTTTTTAAATGGTTTCATATCTTAAAAATTTTATGCAAATACAGGGTGGGGCAACAGTTCGCAGACAAATTTTATTTTGTCCTTTCTTAAAATTTACTTTATATTTTGCTTTTTGTTTAGATTTCCCATATTCTATGATTTGCGCTCTACAAATTTTACCTTGAAAATTTTTTCATATCTCATAAAGTAAAAATTTTACTGGTCGTTAAAAAATCGTGCTTCTATTATTTCTTTGTATTTTAAAAATGTTCGAAAATGTGACATCGCTAGACTCCTCGATATGTGTCGTATGTTGGTTTCCAAAGTAAAAAAACGATATCATTTCTTAAATGATATTTTTGTCCTTTCTTAAAATTTACTTTATATTTTGCTTTTTGTTTAGATTTCCCATATTCTATGATTCGCGCTCTACAAATTTTACCTTGAAAATTTTTTCATATCTCATAAAGTAAAAATTTTACTTTATATATCTAAGGTCCTTAATATATATCTAAGGTCCTTAATATAGACTCATTGTTTTCATTATTCTCTTTATTATTTATTACAATTTATATATCTAAGGTCCTTAATATAGACTCATTGTTTATATATGATATATCTAAGGTAAGTATATATCTAAGGTATAATATATATAATATTATATATTATAATATTATATATTATAATATATAATAATATATAATTATTATATATTATAATATATATCTAAGGTCCTTAATATATATAAGGACACATATCTAAGGTCCACACACACACACATATCTAAGGTCCTTAATATAGACTCATTGTTTTCATTATTCTCTTTATTATTTATTACAATTTAAATCGAGGTTTTATAAATATTATGACGGGATTCCGATACTTTCAAGGTTAAAGAGCATAGAGGAATTGCCAAATACTTACTTTCTCTGCTATATTCTAAAAATGTCAATACGAACGTGTTAAAGTGCATATACATCATATGTGAAGCTGATATTTGGTCACTCACATAGGTAGAGGAAAGGGCGGAGATTTAGGATAAATGTATTGTAAAATTTATTTAAAACGAGGTGAGAAAAATTCTTATATTAGTGTGCACGCTTTCGGGTATTAAAATTAATGTGATTTGGGGATAGGAAAAACTGTCTGAAAATATGGTAAATTTATATTTTAAAAATTATTCTGATTGGTGAATTGGGCAGGGGTAGTGGATCGCCTTAGGTGCTACCAGTTAGTATGTTAGGTATTTGGGGTGTTTTGAGAAATTACTTTAAAAATGATTATTATATCCTATTGATTATATTTTATCATTTTTTCATGTTAAATAAATTTTTTTATGATAGATTTTATTAAAAACATTTGTCGCCGAACTTATGCCCCACCCTGTAGACACAAATTAAAAATGTGCGAGATAAACTTTAAATTGCACATTGAATTCTAACAAGGTAACAATTTTCACCATAGTCTTAACAAATTTTCATAAGATTTAGTATGTACATATAATTAAATATTCCTTTATAAACAACAGGTGTAATTTAAATTATTAAAGTACGCTAACAAATATTTAAATTTAATAAACAAAAAAAGCAAATAAGATGCATTGAATAATACGCATTTAAGAAAATTTTTATAACATTCTAAAATTAAGTTCGTTTAAAGTCGACTTTCAAATCTTGCTTCAAAACTCAATAATAGAAAGGCTAAAGCCGAAACTAAAATTTTACTAGATAGTATTAATTTTTAAATAGACAATCAAATACAAATAAATTTACAAAAATGATGTAACGGGTTGAGAAAATATTGGGGCGGAGTTTCAGAATTTCCTTCATTCAGATTTTGGTCGGAGAAAACACCAGGTTTCTGTTATCGGGGTTCGTATAACCCGAGACACCCCTAATATACAATACTTTATTTCATGGTAAATAATAATTTAATTAAGAGAGCTAACAAAATTGTTGACCGGATGTACTTTTAAATGATGGTGATTAGGAATTGGAATAATATTATTTGAATTATTTGTCGAATTTCTATAAAAATATTTTGGTCTCCAATCTTTTAAGAATTCATTTCTAAAATCTTCGCTGATAAATAAAAGAAGCCATGAAGACAATCCAGAAGTTCCAATGTCTGTAACAACAGGCAACAATGAAAAAAGTGCTGGCATTGAATGGCTTTTTGGGCAGACATATAGAAATATCTTTAAAAAAATTCATCGATAATGATATTTTAAAAATTTCTATTAAAAATTTACTGTCACTATAGCAATAATTGCATGTCCAAACAAAGTACCCAAAGCATAAATTAACAAATTTCGTTCAATTTTTTTCTGAGTATTTGTTTTATTAGAACTTTTAATATTTTTGTAAATAAACAGAATTGTAAAATTGAGGATGGCACAAGCTACCAGAAAAATAATTGAGTAGTAAAAGCTAATATACATATATGGTCCTGGCTTCTGCAATTTTAGATATTAATATTAAGTCCCGAATTAGTTAATATCTTGATCCCAATATCTAATACAACCCTCTATTTTATAAATTTAAAAACTACAAATTTTACATCAAGTTCCTTTGGAGGAATTATAAATGAAGTCATGTTCTGTTCATTTGGCAATGGAATGATAACATAAATATCCATAAACAAAATATAAGAATCAAGTAAAGGAAGACCAAATATGACAATTATCGCTAATGGTAACAATGTTTTGCACATCTGTTTTAAAACAAATTATTTGATGACTCTTAAGATTTTTATTCAAATATCCGTTAAAAATATCCTTACCTTATCATGCTTAATAGTAAACACAATAGCAGTTAAACGAGTCAACATCATAAAAATTGTAGCTAAATTATTAGCTCCATAACCATGTAAAGACAAAAAGTAAAAGATTGCGAAAACCCAATTTGGAAACTTTAAATAAAATTTGTAGGGCCAACCTTTGGTAATTACTATTATTCTAGAATAAGTATAAGAACCAAAAGATGAATAAAAATCCTGTTAAAAATATTTTATTTGATCAATTATTTATATAATTCAGTTAATAAGATTAAACTAGATATGATATAACTCGATTTATAATAAGATTATTTTACTTCAGGGCCATTGTGCTGGAGCTGCTTAATAATCGGGGGCATCTAATTTTTGCGTAGTCTTATTTAATTGTTTAAAAGTAAGTGTAGCACCAGCCTGGTTGGAAAATAGAAGCTAGTAATATAGTCTGATCCCTTTTGCATGATCAAACCAATCCAACTTCGCGTACATGGTACTCGGACATTCTACTTTGAAACAGTGATTCGAATCACGTACCACAATTTTTTCGCGTAATCTCTGACATTCGCGTCTTTCGCATATCCGCATTTCTCTTTTTAGTTTGAGTAAATTTCGCCCAGCCCTGGTAATAAGTATTACAACGAAACTTACAGTAACTGCTCTTATGATGAAGAGCAAATAGAAAGGTGTATGAAATTTTTTATGCTTTAAAATTGTTACAATTTCCAAGATATAAGTAAATAATGAAGATAAATTTATAAATATTGAAATATTGAAAAAAGTACTATTTAATGAGACAATTAACTGTAGAATGTGATCATATAATGTAGTTTCTTGTGTTTGTATTGTGCTTATATTTGTTGACATTTTATTTTATATATCTGTTTAAAATATAATTGGTTGGATTAAAATACAATGGATGGTGGTAATTATTTTAGAGACAACAGTTATATAATGTCCCAAACATTTACAGTTCTATAATTTATGCTGTCATTCAAATTATTAGGTATATTTACTATTAGTTTTGTGTAAAAAATTTTTACTAGCACTATATCTCTTATAAATATTTAAGTATATTTATATAGTTGAGAAAATTCGTTGTTTATTTAATTAGTATATGTACTATGTATACGCCTACTTGACGACTACTTATTTATTAATATTAAATTAAATAATGAATAATTTAATAATAAACAACCTTCTACTAAACAATTTTATTAATTCCACTTGTACATTTTACAACACATTCATATAATATGTAATAAAATGAAACGATAAGTACATTTAAAAATCATTTTAATATAATATGCACAGTCCATATTCAATTCTTGTCCAAATTCAATTCGGCCGGTCAAATTCAATTTGGACAACGTTTTAGGACAAATTCGATTTAAATATTAGAGTCTTGTTCTTTAGATTCTTAAGGATTTTTTTTTGTTTGACAATGTGTTCCCGTTTGTTTTTTGCTTTTTCTTTGTTTTTCTTTTTTTGTGGTTGTTATGTTTATATTGCTTTTTTGTGGTTGGGTCTTGTCTTCAAGGGTAAGTATAGTATTAATTTAAAATAATTTAAAAATAAAAAAAGCTGTTCTTCCAGAAACAAAACCAGTTCCAGTGAAATTTTGGAATTTTCCATCACTGGGTCAGCGTCGTCCATTTTCGCAACCCTAATATAATAATTACAAAAGACAAGAAAAAGTGTTATTCATTAACTAAAGTGCATGATCGTGCCCAAAACCGGGAAAATCGAAACCTACGCAAAGTATTGTTTTTAAATCAGAAAAGATTAAATAATGAGAAAAAAGAGTGTACAAAATGATTTTACTCATAAATATTTCAACACTCAATTACTTTAATTTTATATTCCGTTTCTTAAAGTTTTTTATTTCTTCTATTCTTTGTATTCTTATATTGTTTATTGTAACAAGACTTGCATAAATGTTGTCCATATACATGACGGTACCAAGCTGATGTTTCAGTACTTTTGCAAGTAGAACAATGTCGATCCTCCTTAAGTAAATTCAATAGAAAAAGTATTTATATGAATTATATATTTAAAAATTATGAACATTTTAGCTCTAATTTGATTGAAAAACAGTGCGTGTGCATTTTATTTATTTTTATCGAAGGGTAGTAAATAAAGCATAGTAAGCTCAATTGCATAAAAACTTTTCGCTTATTGTCTATCGGTCCTCAACGTTTGGACAAAATTACTTCAGTAAGTTTAAAATTGGTAAATATACATTTAAAGAGTCTAACTTTAATTATTTTTTAATTATCTTACTAATTTGGATAAAGACAAACCTTTTTAATGTTAATCCAAAATTTTTTTGGTCTATGCTTCCCAAATTTTCGATTATAATCTCCACATTTGCTGCACAAATAATTTTCTTTTATGTATATATACCATTGTCTAGTTTTTGTAGCTCCACAATTTAAACATATTCTCTTAGTGTCTTCAAAGATTCCAACTTTAATATTTAAATTTAATTTTTTTGTAAATGCGGGGATAAACAGTTAAAAATTATTTACTTATTTTATTTTCAATTTCAATAATTTTGCGTTCTAATTCTTTTGTAAATTCAACTTTTTGTTTTTCTAACAATTCAATTTTGTATCCAATTAAATTAATTTCCGTCCAATAAATTGATAAAAGTTTGTTTTTGTAATTTTCTATATTTTCTTTCAATAATTCCTTTTTATATATTTTTATACCCTCTGAACTTTCAGCTAGAATGGAAGTTTCATAATAATCATTATTCATGATAAAATTATTATTCAGGCGAATCTTAGAATATTATATTTATTATTGAATGCTCAAAATTTTAATAATTAAATATGAAATACCTGTTTTTTTAAGTTTTTCAAATATTTTTTAACAATTTCATTATTAGCAATTTCAATCACAATTCTCGTTTTTAATTGATAGCTAAATTCATGCCCTTTTATTAGTTTGACAATAATTCAATTTATTATGAAGGCTTAAATGAATAATCAAATATTAAATACCTGTTTTCCAAAGTTTTTCAAAAATTTCTTAACAATTTCATTATTGGCAATTTCAATCAAAATTCTCGTTTTTAATTGAGAGCTAAATTTAGACCCCTGATATAGTTTAACAAAAAAAACTTTATTAATAGGATTTACTTCAAGTTTACAAAACGATCCATTATTCTTATAAATATAATCAACTATTCTACTTTTTTGTTTGACATTCATTATCAATACAAAACGTTCCTTTATTTTAATATTTTTCAAATAAATAAATTCTCTTTTTTCTTCCCAATCTTTTTTGATTTTTAATCCAACCTCAACCATTCTACCTTTGATCTGGTTCTCAAAAGCACAAACAAATAAGAGAAAAGAATAATAATAAATTTATTCATCTTAAATTTTAATACTAAAAATATTTTATAAATAAAAATAAAAGTTTACATATTTAACTTAACTGATATTAAATGTCTCATTTAACTAGAGTCCGATAAAGCAAAAATAAAAGCAAAAATAAAGGGGGATCTACAGAGGTAAAATAAAATATAAATAAAATAGAATAAATAAAATTAAATACATATTTTAATTATTGTTTACCATGTAAATAAATAGGGATGCATTTTGAAATATTTAATCATAAAAAACTAAGATTTATAAAAAAAATAAAAAACTAAGATTAAACTAAGATTTCGAGCCGAATATTTCAAAACAGCTATTAAAAGCAGAACCGAAGTAGAATAATTTAATTAATGTTGGAACCCTATAATAATGTATATTTTTGCATTTTAAGCAAATTCTAAGGGCAAGGGAGCTGTTTCGAAATTTTATTTCATATACATATTTAATCAACGATTTTAATCCACTCACAAGACATAAATATAATAATAAATGTAAACAAACTACAATAATTTAATTGACGAATTTTATAAAAAGTGCAATTGCAAAAAGTGCAATTTTAATGTCAACTCAGCGAAAAATAAATAAACAAAATTTCATATAAAAATAAACTTTTAATAAATTTTAAGAAATTTTTTTATTGTTGATCCCGGACCCGTTATATAATTTTACTAAGTCTGACCATGAATTATTTCAAATTATTATTTGTATTCATTCCTTTCTGTGGATAATTCATTTCAGTTATCATCTATCCTTACCTAGTAACTACATTCCTATTACCTTCACATTGTCCACTTAATTTATTATTTTAAATTCTGAAAATTTGAAGAGTAATAAATGGGATAATAATAGGGAGGATAACTTCAATTTTATACATTTTTATTCAAGTTTTATTCTATTTCGAAGTTTATTTTTTCCAACCAACAAAGACATGATTGATAAAAACATAAACAAATAAAAAATTATATTGAATATTATATTAAACGCGGCAATTGACAAAAAGTGCAAATTTTAAAAATGCGCTAAATAGCTAATTAAATTAATAAAAAATAAGACGGTAAATTATGAAATGTATTTATGTTATTTTTTAATTATTTTCTCGCCGACTGATTTTAAATTTGCACTTTGGTTAATATAATTAGTAAATAAAATTTTGTAGTTTGGTTAGATTTGTACCACCTTTTGACTCTAAGACTTGTTTCGAAATACTCGGGTCGAAATCTTGATTGCCAATGTCAAAAATCGAAATTTCTAACAGCTCTTATTAACTTAATATATGATGAAAATGTCGAAATGAGACTATT